CTCTGGATGTTTGATCCAGATTAACTCACTCTGGATGTTTGATCCAAATTAACCCACTCTGGATGTTTGATCCAGATTAACTCACTCTGGATGTTTGATCCAGATTAACTCACTCTAATTTTATTTACAGTTATTTAATCTGGCAAGTCCCGTTTAGATCTCAGATCTCTTTTTCAAAGGAGGCCTGGGCCTGAAGGTCACCTTTCGTACATGTTTTAAGGGGTGGGAGAACCGGAGTACCCAGAGAAAACCCACACAAGCACAAGGAGAACATGCCAACTCCACACAGAAAGAACCCAAGTCCTAAACATGGATCGAACCCAGGACCTTCCTGCTGTGAGGCGTCGGTGCTAACCACTGAACCATTGTGTTGATATTTTCTTAAAATATGTTTTAAATCCGAACGGGCTTTAGCTCATGGTCTGGGTTTGTATCGTCTACAGAACTGTTCTGACCCGGTCATGGTCTGGATTTGTATCGTCKAYAGAACTGTTCTGACCCGGTCATGGTCTGGAKTTGTATCGTCGATAGAACTGTTCTGACCYGGTCATGGTCTGGATTTGTGTTAGTATTAGTGGAGTAGTTTAAATAATACTTCAGATTTGTAGTTTTCTGGACAGAACATCTTGTGTCTCAGTCAGACTTCAGTTCTGGTTCGGCCCGTCGGCGCTGCACACAGGTTCCACTCCTTCAGTAAACAGTTAAAATGATCAGGTGTCACAGGTAAAGAATGTGACTCTGCCAGGACTCTGGACTCACGTTTCACAACTAGCACCAGCAGGAAGCCACCTCAATGATTCACTGGTTTCAGTCAACCCACTGGTTTCAGCTGGGGAGCAGTGGCAGGACAGACCGGTACTGGCATCAAACATGTGGCCTTGTTCTGATGGGATGAGGTAACCTCTGACCCACAAACGAAGGAGGAAGCTGCAGCAAAGGATTATGGGAGTCAAAGGTGGATAAGCTGCTCACAGGTGTAGAGTAAAGGTTCAGTTTTATTCGCTCCAAATATTTCATAAACTGCATGTGAGATCTGAAAAGTTTAAAAGCCTTTTTAATAATTCCCAACAAAACCAGACACAGGTCTGAGGCCAAAGTTTGGTTTTACCACCTCAAACGGTCAAAATGTACTTTTAAATTATGTTCTGAGGAAAAACTTTTTTTTCTGTTCTTTAAAACAACAAAAAGTAAATTAAATGAGCAGCATCTACTCATCTTACAGGGAGCTGGTGTGAGAGACAGGAGACACCTGGACAGGTCTACAGTCCAACACACAGACACCTGGACAGGTCTACAGTCCAACACACAGACACCTGGACAGGTCTACAGTCCAACACACAGACACCTGGACAGGACTACAGTCCAACACACAGACACCTGGACAGGACTACAGTCCAACACAC